TGATATAACGAAAAATGAACACATAAACATGCCACTAAAATTTGATCGGTTTGGCTAAGAATTATTATGTTCCTTAAGTTACCTGGGGGCAGACATATTATCCAGCTCCATGAGTCTATGCGTTGAGCACAAAAATAGTTGAGAGTGGTTGTGAGGGTAAAACGCCATGGTTTGAAGGCCGTAATGAGTTCTAAAAAATGGGACTTTCCAAGGTTTTGTGACTCGTTGGATATGCATATACCTTTTCTTTTAAGTCAGCTAAGCTCGTAAACTGTCGAACAGGCATACTCATTTCAGCTTTACTATATTTACCACACAGGCGGTATCGATGTAATTGAAACGTTTCTACTACATATGGCTGGCTAAATAATGTTTCCGTCGGAAATTCCGGTGAAACATTGCAAAATTTTTCTTAGTGTATTTTTTTGTTTCCAATAAAAATATATTTTGTAGATTTGTATTAGTGATTTTTCGCCAAATTAAATGCTCGTAATTACTTTCTGAGTAAAATAGCGACTTATATAATAGCAACCTTGTTCTATAAGGAGCAACCAAACTTTTAACCATGATGTTTATAAAACTACACAGAATATTGAGAAAATAACTTTTGTAATTCAGGGACACTAGCTGATTGACCTAAAAACAGTCATAATCCCAAATGCAAAAATATTGACTGGAGTTGTTCTTGAAGGTCTAGCCAGCCTATAAAACCGGTCATCTGAAGCATATTTCTATCCCTTAGAAAATATTCTACGTTGTTCCAAATGACTCATTAAAGTATTTGTTCGCGATGTTGCAAATGTGTATTATTTGTATATATTCACAGCGAGATCTACCTGAAGCCTATGCTAAGTAGCAAAACTGTTTTATGTAGAATATTATATTAGTAAATATACTAAAAGTTGTTTTGGTCACAGGCTTACTCTTAATTATTCCTGCCGTACAAAAGTTCCTAGACTTATTCATAGCATTAAGTTGTATGTTTTCCTTACCTCACCATGAATTCAAACCACATGTAAAGGGTGTGATGATTACATAATAACACATCAAAAAATTTGAAAGCTATAATCTTACTTTATTAACTTACCTTATTTAGGTTTAGAATGGTATTTCAATCCAATAAATTATATTAGAGCTTAATTCTAGCCATTCAATGCGTCATGAATACAAATTGTCTGTACTCAAATATTAACGTGTCATATTCAGTGTTTCAGCCGTCTTCATTTATCTTAAATCCCATCCTGAGATTTACTATGCACTCTAAATAATTCAAGTCGTCTATTTTTCCAGAAAGCACTCGAGATAGTCAATTGTTTCTATCTACGAAGTCAATCGCTGTAATTGGCAAATGACGAGAATAAAGATAAGTTTAGCCCTAAAAAAATTCGGTGCAGGGGCACTGAGCATGGCGTAAGGACGTGAAACGTTATGCTAAGTGGCATAGGGCAGGATGTATTCCAATCTCTAAGCTTATTTCAGTCTCGTTATTTATCGCGAGCTTCCTTCGTAGATGCAGCGATTGTTTGCTTTCTGGGAAAGCATAGACGCACTACGTTTATTAGCGTGTATGCGAGTCATTAATTTGAAAACGTGATGTATATGTATACCTGTTTCACTTTGGAAGGCTTCGCCTTGGTTTCGGTAGCAAATTCTTTGATGAGTAATAGACAACATCAGGCTTGTCCACAGAGACAAACTATCCGGCACGCTTAAACAGGGCGTAAGTGGCGTTGCTTATGTCGATTGTGTGCACATTTTCGCCGGTCTGGCTTATGACCATGTTTAGCCTTTCCACGAACTTATCTGATTTGCTTAACGTTGAATAGAGAAGCTTTCTTTCAGTTTCAGTCGTACTGCAATGGGTGCCAAACAGGGAAAAGTAAAATAGCACCTTGAGTCTCTTTATCACGTTCTCGACTAAACACGACACATATGTTGAGGGGTCTTCTGTTTCAAACTTTGCAAAGACGAGTTCTTTGGCGTCTTGGAGTGGGGAAGAATCACCAATGTGCAATTTTCTTCTCCTATCGGTGGAGTTAACGGTGACGTAGTACAGACAAATTCTCTCTGGCAATGTGTTTGCACACCTGATTGGGGCTGCGAAGATTTCGTTTAGAGTTGAATCAGATTTTGGTTTCGAGTTCAAAATGGCTTTGCTCGACCTTGGCTGTGTTCGCATATGATTGTCGTCAATACAAACTTCTGTAGTGTTTTTGCAGGTTTTTTTTTTCAAGCTAATGCTTTGCTGAGTCATTTGGCACTGGTAAGAGTATCTGTATGGTTTAATACTTGCAAGGCTTGACCCAAACATTTAACGCCCCTGATCACTCCAGCCAGATTTGAAGAAAACTTTAGGTTGTTATGAAGAGTGTACATGAGATGCATGGCTTGGGTTGCTGCATGAACAAAGAAAGCAACTTATGTAAGACAGTAAGTACTTCATGCAACGTCTAACATGGTATTTAAAGACAAATCACTTTCAGAAGCTTGATGGGCAGCTCAATTATTACATCTATGGGATTGCATAATAATCACTAATGTGTGCGTGAATGAAAAAAAAATATGAAGGGAATCGGGAATTTAAATAAAACACCAAAATCATTATTGGTGTTGTAGGGATCAAAAAATAATCACCCTCGCTGTATATCCGTCTGAGCGCGGCCACGAACGTTTAGGCCATAAGACAAAACAACATAGTCAAACAAGATTGTTTAAAACTAAAGTTAGAAGAGAGATGGATACTCTTGATCGAAACCCAACCGACTCAAAAACGAAAAATCTCTAATGTCTCCTATACTCAATTTGACCTTAAGAACCTTATTAAAAAAAAAAAAATGGCCGGCTCCTCGCGAAAGGTTACTACCTCCTCCTTTTGCGTAGAGAATTAAAATATATATGGAGGGTGTCCCCCCCAAAAAATACAGGGTTTGTTTTACCGCAAAAATAAACTAGGCATCGCCGAACGCTCGTTCTGCGCCCAAAGGTAACCCTAGAGGTCACAACCAGATGCCAAAGTTTCAGCCCGATCCGATACCTTATTCAAAAGCTATAAGTAATTTTCTAAAAATTTCAATGGGAACATGGAGCCCATTTTGGCTTGTTTTTTTGGTTTCCTGTGCCCATAGAGCCCCATACATTCAAAAACTCCGTCGGCCGCCATTTTCCCATTGCAATTTTCAGAAAATCACTGATAACTTTTTAATAAGGTGTCCGTCCGGGTTGAAACTTTAGCATCTGGTTGTGACCTCTAGCCAATGTTACTAAAACACTCAGTTCGGAAACTCGCCGTCGAAACCTGGGCCGCTGGCGTCCATCGAGACCGAGCTAAATACGACAACAGCGCCACTCTTTATCATTTGTCTGTACTGTGGTCACCTTGAGCTTTTAGAAAGCATGTTTTTGAGTAAAAACAAACAGAAAAGACTCTTTTTGTATGAAATTCATTGGCGTTTAGTACAAAATGAAGGGCGCGTAATGTTTTTAAAATCTTTAGTTTGCAAGGTTTTGCGGCACAATTAATATTGTTTTATACAACCATACCTCAGCGGTGCTTTCAGGTAGCGCGTCCAGACCTAGGTGCATTTTAACTTCGGTAGTATGACGCGGCGCGTCCGCTGGGGAGACGGGGGTGGCACCCCTGTATTTCTTTCGGCGCCAAAATGGCCGATTAAAGCCAAAATGGAAGTAACGTGCGGTTCCCCGAATGGCTGCTGCGGGAGAAATGGTGGCGTTGTGTTCGTCATTAGCTCGATGCTCGAGGACAAATCGGGGTTACTTTTTCGAAGCAGTCTCTATGGCAGTTTCCCTACTGAGTGGTTTAATAACGTTGCTACACTGGAAACGGAAATAGATAAACGCGTGGGTGAATGAAGACGTTTATAGTAGTTCTGCTCCTGCGTAAACTCGTCTGTCAAGTGTAGGGAAAAAGGGTTTAGTAGGTGAAATGAGGCTAATGGAATGAGACAGAAGAGGTGCCTTGTTCCAATAGCTTATATTGCTTGGCCAGTACCTCAGGAAGTTTAGATATCCAGCTCATCCCAAGTTGCACGCCAGTGAAACGCCCGAATTGTCACAAATTTGGCACTCCTAGGGGCCTAACATGGGTCTAATTGAGTTTTGCTTCAGAGCAATAATTAGTGCAAGACTACTTTTCGTTGATCTGCCCATGGCTTTTTTTTTGGGGGGGGGGGGGGGGGGGTGGGGGGGCTCGACATATAATCGTCAAAGTGTCATACTTTAGCCAAAGTTGCCACGTATGAACCGAAGAACCAGCAATAACTCCTAGATTTAGCACTTGTTTGGCATCTTAGGCCAAAAGGGGTCACGAAATAACTAAACAACCAAAAGTGAAGTCTTACCCTGGCACTTGTTCGGCGGTTTTGGCTCAAAGATGCTAGATGACAACCAAACTAACAGCAGTGAAACCTACGTTTGCCATTTTGTTTGGTGTTTTACGATCAAGATACCCGAACTCTTGTCAAAAAAGGTTGTTTGGCTTTACCTTCTCTTCTTCGGACTTATTAAGGCCCTAAATTCCCAGCCAAAGATCAATGTTTGGCCCCCCAAAAATATGCTAACTGGGATGTCACGTCCGAGAATAATACACCCGAGGTTTCGCACCGCTAAAATCAATGCTCGTGGAGAACAATCGAAGCATAAATGTTTTAACAATTCATTTCATGGCAGATATATTAGAAGCTGTGATAAGGCTTTTAGTGCATTTACACAACCTATGTCTATTATAATCTTTAGAGCATGCATTCTCCACTGACTAACAAGTATTTTAGCTGACGATCATATCCACTTCATATAAGGTTGTATTCAAACTATCTAAGCGTGTGTGAGTTCTATAATAAAAAAAAACTAAGTGACGCACTCACCATTGTACTCCTGAATTCACGGCCATTGTACTCGCTGAGTATTATGAGGTACTGCTGCAGGAAAGTCATAATATTGGCTGACATTTATTCTATACTTTGTGAAGGCCCGTTCTCATTTGCTTAGAAACTGAATCCTGTTCTCGCTGGCTGGTCCAAGTAGATTGCGTCAGCAAAATTAGCCAGAGAATTCGATCTTTCCCCGGTGCGTCCAGTAGCGTCAATGGCGACAGGCCCATTGTACACAAACTGTGCCATCAAAGATGATGATCGCAGGCCTGCTGACAGCCATAGAATTAGAGGGGGCGGTTTCCTTACTATCTGCAATTAAACATTATTGTTTAGTCATATTTACAAGCAATATGTTATCAAAATGAATCAGAGTAGGTTGGAGAAATGGGTCAGAACTGTCAGCTTCAAATAAACAAGGTGTTTTTATATTCATTAGCAGTTTGTCGCGCTTTCCCAAGAAAAACTGTCTACCTGGTTTTGACGACATGTACAGTTGCCTGATCTACAATCCATTAGAGTGGAGCGTTAACATTTAAAGAGAATATACCTTGTGGGAATCTTCGAGCTTCGTCGCGACGTAGCATCCGGGCCATGCAGGCTTACAGAAAGTGTATGAGCTGAATCCTCATCAGAACCAAGAAAAAAGATCAAGGCGAACAATAAATACCAGCGAATGACGAAGCTCCGAATAAGCTTAGCAGAAAAAATAATAACATGCCCATGACATTTTACTTGCTAATTGACCCTGCGACCACTACATTTTTCAGATCTAATCGTATTACAAGTTTCATTATAATCTGAGATACTTCTGTTATTGACACTGATTGACTGCCTTCGGGTGCAGCAGGAAAGTGAACTCACCGACTTTCTTTGGAGTGTATACGCACTGATTCATTTTCATATCAGAGCAGTATAAATTCAATTGGTCACCTCGATTTTGCAAGTTTGAACCCATGGCACTGCCGATTACAATCACGCCTTCTTTTACTGTTCTCGAGTATAAGACGGTGTAAACGTTTGAGACAATCGACTCTATAAAATGGCTGTCGAGTGAATCTGTCACACTCTAGCAGCTTTAATCGGGTGCTAAATTCGGCTTGCTCAAGCATGCAATCTGGTCACAATGTAAAGTCATATGAGGCTTAGCACTCACCTGGACGATCTGTGCAAGAACGTGTATTTTAGTATGAAGAAAATAGTAATTAGTTTGAGCATCCTCGTTGATCGTGATGAACCCTGAAAATGCTTCAACTCCTTTCGATTCGTAAAAAAATGGCACTCTGCTGTACAGTTTTGCGTCCTCAATTTTCCCGTCTTGGATGTATAGGGATAGAAGCAGTGGGCTGTCCTGTATACTGCAAGCAAATGATGGTTTATTTAATCAAAGAATAATCATTTGGTAAAACTACCGTTCAATATGGTCTACGCGCACCAGTTTTATTCTTTAGACTTATGCTCTACAAGAAGAGTGGCCGAAGTATGGCCAAGAAAATTTGCTTTTCGTGTAAGGCCCGTCAAGATTTTGTGTTTCAAGTGTTTCTATCAGTCAGTGACTATAGCCATAACGTTCCTTGTATACTACACTGCCTGCGTCAACGCCGCACAATCTGAAAACCGTTGATTATATCATGCGTTTTTTGTTGTTTTGATCTCATACAGTTTTCATCCACCTCACTTGAGGAAGAAACCTCTCTAAAGGAGCATGATGGGGACCTACGAGTCTAAGCGCCGCGCCTGTCAGCTCGTTTATCGGGACCCAACATTGCGGATACAACTTTTTTGCCGGATATTGCGAAGGGGCTCCCAGGGGGGCCCCAAGAGGAAGTGGGTACAAGGGCGGTTTTCTTTTAGAATTTCCTGATCTGCTCTTGCTGCAAAGAAGAGCTGGTGCATGCGGCTTCCAAAGGTATGGTTATGTTTTATGTTTTAATCGAGTGCTCTCCTTTCTGTTTCAGCACGAGTTTGCAGACGAAGTTTACCAGAGTGTCATTCGTTGGCTACACTTAAATATTCGTCACATCTTGAGAAACAGGAAGGGGGAAAAGGGGGGGGGGGGGGTGTGACACACTCTTGAAGTTGTCCGTTCACTATCGTGGGTGACTTATCGCTGAGAGTACGTTAGGATGAAAACTTGTTAATAATAGGCTACTTTTTTCCTAAATGGGAAAACATGTAATATTCAAGAATGATCGTTATGAACATAGGCGTTCATCGATAAGGTCAATGATCAGGATGATAATGGTTTCACCAGCCTTTCTTTATCGCTGTTCCTCACTTGGTCATATTCCACAACATCTATATTTTGGCTGACTATGTTATTTTATATCAGCTCTGCTCTAAATAGAACAAGATGTATCTCTGAATAAAATAATGAAATGTCGTTTTTTAGATAAATAGGGAGGCTTAGTGATTTGATACATAGGGACATTTAGCGCTTAAACTGCAGGGCTTATTGTTATCATACAAGCTTCTAAACTGCACAATGGAGTAGACTAAAAACATATTCTGGCTTCATCTCTCTCTAATCGTTTTTTTCGCAAATCCAATGGCAGAGCTAATAAACGTAGATGATCAGATTAGCCTTGACATAAAGCGCAAGAGCGCTATATAAAGCATTTGGTCGTTTGAGTACCTAGCATGGCGGCAGATATCACAGCTGATAATAGTGTTTCTATCTACGCAATAGAGACGAGGTCGTAAAAAAAACTCGTGTTTATCAATCATTCCCGGTATCCCTTCTTTCTAGCCTTCCTAGCGGCTCGCCAGAGCGTTAGAATTCAGCAGAGGCCCGAGATAATCATCGCCTTAAGAGGTGCGGAAGGCGCGATAACGCCCTCGCTAGCTCTAAAGGCTATCACTGGTATCGCTCCACCCCAGAGGCTGCCGTCGCGAAAGTAGTTCGAACGTCAATCCTCATCTCGGTCTGAAGAAGGCGGCGGTCGGTAAGTCCGAAGCTCGATTGGACTTTCGCGTCTCAAGGCCGAACGGCATGGTGCATTCAAAATATGTGAATGAAACACAAGCTATTGCACAAGTTCTCTCTCAAACGAACTCAAGAAAGGATCCAAGATCTAGAGTACGATTGAAGATGGTATTAAAGAGCTGTTGTTTGTCAACATCTGTGCCATGAACGGGGGTGTATACGATATCTTGTTGCTATTTTAGGCTCCATTAAACGTAGAACCCTTATAATTTAAAGTGAAATATGACAAAGGTACAGCTAGTCAAGCGATGTCTAAAACAAAATGTGCGAAAATATTGGAAGCCGCCTATTACGAGAGATCTGTGGTCAGGGAAAGTTTTAGAAACTTGACTTGTTATTCGTCTTTCTTTTTGGCTAATTCTACAATTTCGTTGACTGCGCATCGATACTAAGATGCTCAAAATTTGTCACACCGTTTGTTTCTTAAGCTAGAGGCGTCTATAAGACATTAAAAAAGAAAATATCGCCAATAAGTCAGCCTTGCGCAAATTACTGTGGAAATGCTTAGTAGTTGGAAGTACTTAGAAGTACAGGTTATATTCCCTTAGACGTACAAGGTATATCCTTAAATTTTAGTAGTGACAGAAACAATTATCATTCCACGGAAATATCGCATTACAATTACGTTGAAGAAAAAGATAGAATAAAGTTCTTATTAGTTCGAGAGCTACACAGTGTAGTGACACTGATTGGACAGCCTTTCATTCCCTGCGAAATACATTTCCTTCTTTTTTTAACTATTATCCGTGGATTTTTGAAGAGTTTCAAGGTCGTCACGTTTAGTTCGTTTGTTATATAAAGTTTAATGGTCATACGAAAGGTGCCTATAGTTTTTTGTGTCATTTGATCATCTTGTTTAAATTATTCAGCCGCAACAATAAGTCCGTGAGGCCGCTTTTTTCAACGCGGTAGACAATAAAATGATAGAAAAGGTGCGAGCACACGCACAACAAACGTAATAGATTCAAAATCTAATTTACGAGACTAAATAACTCTCGAAAAAGACTACCTGAATTATGGTAAGACAAATATTATATTTGAATTCCGATGAAAATTATATTGACTTATTTTCTCGCTGTCCTTAAACCTAAATATAGCACTCTCGCGTTTTTGTTAGGACTCTGATTGGGCCCATCCGCATGTGCCCCGACAGTGGTTGAGAGGTTCACGCTCATGCGAACTTTGCCGTTTCGAAGGAAGGTTATTATAGGGCCACGTACAGCCGCGTACACAGCGCGCATATGTTGTATCTGCTCGAGTAGGCTTTTTTCTTTTTTCTTTCCTAGTAAAAAAAATCATTTGTATGAGAAATTTATTGTGTCCAATAAACACTTATGAATCATACAAGATGTATAAGAACATATAAGGACATATAAGAACCATATAAGAATTATATGAGAACTATATTATTATGTAAGATATATAAGAACCCCATAAGAAACTTATAAGAAACTTCCCACTAGTTTCTTATATGGTGCTTGTATGTTCTCATATATCTTATATAGTTTATATATCTCTTATATGGTTCTTATGCGGTTCTTATATATCTTGTATGATTCATATGTGTTTATTGGACAAAGAAATTTTTCATACAAATGAGAATTTTCAATAGGGTTTTTTTTTTTTTTTTTAAGCTGTAGTTTGATAGCGCCAACCAACCAAGGGAGCCGCGTAAGCACGAAGTGTATAGGTCAGTCAGTCCCTAACCGCTAAATAATCCTGAAAAAACAAAACAAAAAAAACACGACAACTCGTGTTTGGGAGAGAACACCGGTCACCGGCGTGGAAGCCGACTGTGCTACCAGACTTGTACGTAGTTCAACTACTCCCAAGTTACCGCAATTTAACTACTTTTGTGAGTAGTTTGGTAACTTTCAATTACATTTTTATTTTGATAATTAGTAGTTTTCTTTAATTACTTTTTTTTAGTAACTTCTACTCAAGTTACAAATTACTTTCGAATTTTAGTAGTTGTTTTGCCTATCAACAAACATTCCTGCACAAAGGAGATAAGATGTGCGAAGACAAGTTGATATTCGCAAAGAGGGCGAAGCATGTGGCGAAGCAAAGGGGGGGGGGGGGGGGGAGGAAATGGTTTGGAGAGTCCGAAACCCCCCAAAAGTTTCACCTGCCACCGTCCCCCCCTACTGAAAAAAAACATTTGAAATTCAAACGGGTGGCAAACTGGTCGCCCGTTTGAATCAAACCTGTCGATCCGTTTGGAAACGGTACCCGTTCGAAACGGTACCCGTTTGATACAGGTGCCCGTTTGATACGGGTGTCGTATGGTACGAGTACCCGTTCGACATGGCACGTGACCACACGTTTGACCGTGCACTTCGAAATGCCAAATTATGCGCTAGCCCTAAATGGGTATCGTCTGGGAGGTTGGTTATCTTAAACATATTTAAGACGTCCCGAAACTCATAAACGTATTTATAACATGGAGAAAACACGTAGAACAAATGCACTCGCGTAGGTGCTTGTAAGTGGACAGGAAAACCGACACAAAAGATTGTTTTCAATTCTCCTCGAAGTTTATTACCTCTTCTGTAGACAAGTACAAACATGCAAGCGATCTGTGAACACTATACAGGTAGACTTTCGGGGAAATTATTCTCCTGGCTGCCGCGCGAATAGGCGCTGCATAATTCTTTAGATAATTTAGAAGAGTACGCGTAGAAGAACGGTCAATCGTTGCCAACACGAAGGTTGCAGTGCACTTACCATAACAATAGCGGACTTGAAAGAGGTAATCCGTGATATTTGTCGACACGGTCGAAGCAGGACAACCACACAAACACAAACGAGAGGAAACGGCTCCTTGGAAGTTTCAACACGATGCGGCGCACAAGCTGTCATTTGCCGAGCCCAACCAAACCGCGAGAATTTGCGACTTCTTTGAAGAATCGCTCGTTGCCGACATACACGTGGGTCTTTTCGAACACTGATAGCTTTGGCGCACATCCAATACGTTGTCGAGAGACATCCCAATAAGACCGCAGGGTTAGGCGACAGATTGAAGCAGGTAGGACGAGCGAACTTCGAGCAGCAACTGACAACAAGCAGACAAAGAAAAAAGCGGCTGCAAGGCGCGCCCTTCCGGATCTCGATGCTTATCAGCGTGTAGCTCGCGCGCTGCTGTGGGTCACGTGACAGGGGTGACAAGAGAGGAGGGAGGGGGCGAGGTCAAGGCGCTGGGACCACCGGGACAGCCCCTCTCCTTCTCCCCAGGCACTCCAGGGAGATGCGTTTTTGTAGTCCCGAAGAACAAACGCGCGCGCGCGCGCGCGCTCGAACTTTGGAAATGGCGGCGGGGCTGCCAGAAGCTCGGCTTGCGCCCGAGCGAAGAAAGAACTCAGCGCAAGCTCGTAGTTTGAGTGCTGCAACGGCGGGCGTGCTCTCGCAATGCTCGATGTTCTTGCAGCCGCGTGTACGCGTGCTACCTTCGCTGCGTCTTGAATTAAAGTGAAACGGAGTCTAGACGTACATTCTTTCACGCGGTCGCGTCTTCTGCGAGAGAGATTCGAGCTGAATAAGTAAATTGAGGCAACAAAGATAGACAAAGTATTAAAGGTCTGTCAAAAATATCGGCTCACCAACGTCGCGCGTTTACGTAAAACAAAAAAAAAAGGTGTTAGTTTTAGTTGCCGTATAATCGAAAATCAGCGCAATTGAAATATATATATAATTACTAGCATTACGCGGACGATCTGAAATCGATGAACCGGCGCTCCCAGCCTTCCGGAAAACATTGGCTGCCACGGCTGAAACGCTAGGCGTGCCCACGCCGCCGATCTGTACGTTCAATATCAAACGGGCTCCGGAGAGCCGTTTGATTAAACCGGTGCAGTTTGCAACATGGTCGCCGGTTTGAGCAAACGTGCGACAACTTTGCCCAAACGAGTCGCCCATTTGCCCAGACGAGCGACCCGTTTGCCAAATAGGTGACCGTTATGGCTCAGACGGGGGACCCCTTTGAGCCATACGGGCGACCCCTTTGACAAACTGGTGACCAGTATGGTTAAACGGTTACCGGTATGGACCCGTTTATTTTCATATGGGCGCCAAATGGTTTGTTTCAGTAGGGCCCCCCCCCCCCCCCCCTCCCCTCCACTGCAACAACACAGCAACGAGGCGCGGGGAGCGAACAGACCCGACGCAAGAGAGGCCGAGTAGCTGCGGGATTAGCGTCGAAGACTGGCGTTTCTCTGTGGCTCGAAGCTGAAGGGGACCCGACCCACCCTTTTAAAGAGAGGGCTTGTCCCCGCTTCTCCCTAACGTAGACACTCTCGCCCAA